CAAGAAACAAATCCATCGGGTCGTCATATCGCAAAAACTATTTCGGTCCGACTTTATACGGTCGTGGTAACCGAAATAAGCACTACAACGATCTATGAGTGTATCATACTTCTAGTTTTCATACAATATTTCCCGAAGTCACCTAATCAATTATGAAGAATGCGTAGTCAAAAAGTGTCCGAATGCAGAAAGCATTGACATTGAATCAATAAGCAAAAAAGACATTAACTTGTTTTCTATAAGTGCATTAACACAAATGAAGGTGTTAGTGAGTGGCAATACGCGCGTTTTGCCCTACTATGCCGATCTTGTCTATGGACAACCAGTCACCCCACGGGGTAATGATCTTTGACTAACCTTTAATGGCAATCCGCTTGCGGCCACAGTTAGAAAGGACCGTTGCAGGTCGTAAGTCCGTCCAAATGCGCTAAGGGAAGCGCGTCGGGTCAACCCAATTGATGCTGTAAAGCATGCTTATCAGTCAGAAACGCAGATTCGCACATAGACCCTTAACTAATTAAACAACAAATAGCGTTACTAAACACACTCAAAAATTATGCAAACAATCAGAAGCACAATAAAGGTTTATTCTCTGAATGAATCATTCCGATAAAGGGAGGCCCATTTTTTGCCAGGCAGAAGAGGTTGCTGCCATGCATTATCTAAACTGGCCAAGTGAAGCCTGGTACAATCCATGGGAACTAAAAACATTGTTGAACCTTAGGAAAAATCATAATGACCTATTCTAATCGTTTTTATTTAAAGTTTCCTTCTTTTCATTCTTCTAAGTGTCCTTATACGCGTTAAATGCTATTATAATATAGTGCTCATGAATTTGCATTGCCTACAACTTACCCCTTTACTTTCACCATCGCGTCACTCTACTGTGATTACGCGAGTCTATACGATTTCCTTCATCCAGAAACCAGATCTCATCCATCAAAACGCTAAATTCAACCACCCCCTACAAGGATTCCCACAAAGGCCAGTATGGCCTCTTATTCAATTTGTTCTATCAGCACATGCAATCTAATCTTACCCTTTCATTGTAATCATCCAAGGCCGGCTGACACAGACTGGCGCCTGCCATACAACCGCACTCCCCACAACACAGACTGCTTCGACTTACTACCATGATGATCAATCACATTCTTGACCCCAGGATCCTCGTGTTGACCTACCGACCTCGAGATTGACTCTCACCGCGCTGCTACTTACCGTCCCTATCGAATTTTTTTAGTCATTTCTATCAGTAGTTGTCCTTGTCCCCTCTTGCCAGCCGGAGTGTTCTCGGAGGCTATGGCCTCAGAACCTCCCATGCGATTATAAGGGTTCATCTAGACACAGCGAGATCTAAGTGATACTGACTTGAGCCCGGTGAATGATATTTATGACCCTTGGTGACAGATTAGATAGACCAGGCGGCAACAGCACCGTCTGTTGTTTGAGGGACGCCCACTTTTTGTGAGGTATTCACACTAGCCGATGACACTCGAGGGCAGTCAAATAAATCGACTGCCAAACAACTGCCGGGCAGTGGCTTAAGGAATCAGCACACCAGAGGCGAAGCTGCAAGGTGATGTGCAGTAATAGCCGCCAGCCTCATAATCGCCTTGCTGTGCCCCGCTGCTAAAAAGTGGCCGCATTCCTCAAAAAAGAGCAAACTAATGAGGCACTGGCTCAGACCAAAGGAGCAGACTCGTCAACTAACCCTACTTCCACTACACCACTTGCAAAACCGCACCTCCGCCACTATGGACACACTGCGACTACAGGCCACCGCCTACTATCACCACCACTACGACTACCACTACCACACAATCGACACCACCCTCACGAGCCCTATGCCACCAACCTGTTCCGTTCCAGCACCACGACCATCGTCCCAGCTACATCAGCAGCAACTATTATGATCAGAATGATAAGTAATTATGCTTTACTCGTTTATTAAATCATTTAACGCCAACTCACACTGTTTGTACTAATTGTGAGTTCGAGCCTAAGTTCTATGAGTGAAATGTAATGGTTGCTTGCGTGGGGAGTGTCGGCGCATTTCCCGCGACCATGCCCGGCCACCCATTTGCGGCCAGATGCGAAGGTGGCCCGGCCCTTAGCGCATCAATCGCTATTGGGCACTGCGAGAAAATCATCCCGCACAGTCGGCACGCTAGTGCCTCCTCCTGACCATGGTCGTGTAATTTGGTCTTTATTAATAAATAATTCAAAACCCCTGAACCACTCTTGTTAAGAATCCTAAGAATTTCCTGTGGCGTTTCTAGAATAAATCCGCCACAAAACTGTCAATCTTGTTCAGTGTTGGACAGGAAACCTATGACCACGATTGTGTCAAAATGTCATTTGAACATGACGCAGCGAGGCGTTTGCAACGAGATACACTTCCCACTACGATTCATTTTGTTTAGCCTTGAAAGAAGAATCGTTCAAGCAGTGCGTAGCCATCCCTTGCCCCTCCCCCCCCAGGAAGTATATCCGTTCCCTCCTTTTCTGTACTGGCTCTTTACCCACATCGGCACACGTCTCGCCCAAGGCGGGTAGTCCTTTCTCTCCTTACCCGGATCCCAAATTTCCCATTTCACACTGTTTGGGCCATTCTTGAGGTCCCAAGGTCCCATTGTTCTGGATTGGCCACCAGAACCTGCCCACGGCGCACCGGCCCTTATGAGTAACTGATTGATATGTGTAAGAAATAGGCAAACTTGAGACATGTGATTATGACCATAGGTAAATAGTTAGATACTCGATGCGTGACCTCTCCTGTACTGAGAGGCACGCCTAGATTAAGTCGGCATTCTACCACGTACCATACAACCGAGCAGTCGACTCCAATAAACGACTGCCACACTTATCTACCAACACATTCTGGTACATCGAGCCGAGAAGCAACCCTGAGCAGGTACCCACAAAGAATAAGAATTTAAGAAGAGCTTAATCCTCAAGGATGTACATTTCGTTTTCCATTCAGTTTATTAACTTGTAACCTAATTCGCGTCATGCACTTCAAAATATCGTCAATTCATTTAATTAAAAGAGCTGTAATTAATAGCTCCGCAGACGTAGCGGAAATCCTAGAGCAATTTGGGGGATATAGACAAAAAGTAGTGTATACACAAGAGGATAACGAGTTATATGAGGTGTGCACCACTGATGTGCGACGCCTAAGTGCCTGCCTAACAGAAATGAAAGAGGCTAGAGATATCCTCCAAAGTAAAGCGACTCTCCTGGAAGACATCTGCTCTTCTACTAAGTCAAGAACAGAACTAAAGGAGCTCAACGCTGAAATGGACGAATTAGATAGGGAAACCCAATATTATAAGTTGCTCAGGGAGTCGAGAGCATTTGTGCGCATCCTTGAGGGCAACCTAATGGACACAAAAATAATATTAGAAAAGGTCCAACACAAGCTCAAAATCTCTTGCGAGGCCAGCACCTCATATGACTCGCGACAAGGTAATCGGGAAGATACCAGTTCCGGGAATCCGTCAAACTATGGCCCCTTAATTACACCAACAGGATATCGGGCGATAAAAGCCCCCACCATTACATTGCCCAAATTTTATGGAATACAGGAGGAGTTCCCAGAATTTTGGGCTATATTTGAAACGCTGGTCCATAACAATGACGAAATCAGCGAAATAGAAAAAGTGGTTTCACTAAAAGAAAGTCTAAAGGGGGCAGCAGAAAAAATTATAAAAGGCATCCAACCAATACCCAAAAATTACGGGTGGATGATCGAAACCCTTAGAAAAAAGGTATGGCAATAAGCCAGCAGACAATTCTGGATTGCCACCAGAAGCTGCCGGCGCACCTTTTATGAGTAATTGATTGGTATGTGTAAGCCATAGGCAAACTGACATGTGATTATGACCCATAGGTAAATAGTTAGATACTCGATGCGTGACCTCTCCTGTACTGAGAGGCACGATAGATTAATGTGATTTTCATCTTATTTAATCAGTTTACTTTTATGATTATAACATTGATGTTCAAACCTGTGATATAATATACATTTACTGAAACATTAAAAATTTAACCTTATTTTTATCTTATATTTATATATCTTTTAGGTTATATCTTTATTGGTTTCAAGGAAGTAGTCTAGTTTCCGTTTCGCACGTGCCCTTGGACGGAAGCTAGACAATCACGGTATCCTCCCTCCGTGCTCATCAGTAAGGAAGGGTAGGAAAACGAGTTTAAATACGACAGAATCAAAAATTTTTTTAAAAAAGTTTTTTGTAAAAACGATTAAGTCGGCATTCTACCACGAACCATACAACCGAGCAGTCGACTCCAATAAACGACTGCCACATTTATCTACCAACACACCCATTACGAGTTTTTCATTATAGCTCTGCTCATGTTGCTGCGCCCATCCTTGTCGCGAGCAGGTCTCTATTTACTCGAGACACGCTCAGTTCAATCGAGACAGTCCTTTTTCAACACCTTCTCGCCAGCTCGAGTTTTAAGTTTTTGTGGGTGCACGACCCACTTGGTCTAGACTCCGCAATACCGCGGCCTCGCACTAGTCCTCCACTAACATGTTGCTGACCTTCATCCATTTTTTTCCAGTACCTTGACTGCTTGAGACCTTCCCAGTACTTTTTATTCTGGACACCTCCCACTCCGGTTCATACCTTGTTCAACTTAGCTCGTGTGCGCTTCGTACCTCTTGCTCCATATCGCAGCCATTCGAAATTTGATACGGCCCTGGGGCGATCCTTCGAGTAGTGCTCGATTTGCGCTTTATAACCTATACAAGTAGAATCCTGGTAGTATTCTCTTTCTGTTCAAACTATAAATCTTTTGTGGATACATGAGCCTTTACCAATACTCCTTCATCTACCCAAGAAACTCTAATTTTCTTCTGCTTCTTTTTGTTCTGGTAAGCACAATGTGGATACTTCATCTGGACTGAGACGCGTGTTCACAGTGGACCGTCACCTCAACTTCCGTGCGATATCTGTCTGTTTCAGCAATTGCGTATGTCACGCCGCTCCTATGCTGATGACACGAAGAGTTCAGAATTAGATCCTGAGGACTCTTTCAATGATTCTGTCCATCTGCATGACTCGTGGTTCTACGGACCCCCCAAAAAAAGGCAGGTGCTGCATCCTGAAGGACAAGAGAACGTGAGCCCATCTTCGGTTAGTGCTCTTGAACAGACGTTTTACTTGTGTTGTTTTTGCTACTGAAAGCCGCTGACATTAACGAGACACCGCACCCTATGCACTCGCACAGATCAAATCACGTACCGGATCGTGCTCGACCATTGAGCATCACATCCCTCCTGTGACGACCGAATAGTTTTTGTGGGAGCCTGGAGGCGCTTTCTTGTAAATCAGCTGAACATTGTATTCGCCGCCTACTCGACAATTCTCAGGGATTGTCAAATACGTAGCGGATTCTTGGAAAGCATTGAACTCCGCCCTCAGGTCTAGCTTTTTCTTTCTGCAAGTTTTCTGCAAGTCAGAACAATCAGCACCAGTATGGCTCCGTCTTGTGAACTACGCTATCACTTCCTATTAAAATCCCTCTTTCCATCAACTTTTCAATACATGGATGTTGCGCCTTGTTCGCTGCGAATCCCGCCAGTCCGGGAGCGTGCATTGGTGAAAATGCCCAAATACGCGAAACGGTGATCTATCAGCCGGAGGTGGTGTAATGGGAGGTAGCCCGCTTACCTCGCGCGGTCTAATGGTCAGATTCTAAATAGGCTCCCGCCCAAGCCAAGCAAGCCTTCTGTCTACTGTGTGTACTGTTAGAACCAGATTCGCTAGCGAGGGTAAAAGACATTGACTTGTTTATCGGCTGCTTTCATATTACTTCTCGAAAATTCGAACATTTCTGCCTGATCTGAAGACGAATACGAAAGAAGATGATGATGAGGTTGCACCAATGACAAACTTGGCCACCGCAAAGGACCAATCTGGCATAGTGCCCAGATTTTGGATATTATATACATTTTCGGCTCCAGCGCTGTTTGATAGCGGACTTTCGGCAGCGTCGATTTCGCGTCCCGACCTGTACGTCGCCTGCCCCTTGCCCCCACCTCCACTCATTGTACGTATGGGCCCATCGCATCCAATAAGCCATAACGAGTCTGAACAGAACTAGAATGCTGGAGGATCCAGAAGGGGGTTGCTCTACGGCTACACTTCATCCCTTTTATTTATTTTCCATTCACGCACTACAGCAACAGACATGAATCACCAGTTCATGCTCACAGCAAAGGCATGACCAAGAAAACTAGTTGATGAAAAAGATTTCAATGCAGTCGCTGAAAATGATAAAAAAAGAAGAAAGGGAAAGCGGATATGGTTTGGCAGTCAGACGATAGACTCGTCCATTGTCCGATGCTTCGACCATATCGTCGTCTTAAAGGACCTGCAGTGGTTCGAAAGACTTATTTGCAGCCCATTCAACTAAACGAACGAACGCCAGGCCAGCGCCTACTGCTTGCAGCCAACCGCTAGAAAGCCAACCCCTAGCTTAGTAACTATTCGAGCCATTTCGGATCACACAAAACGATGATTTTGTCAAAAAGTCGGACACTAAACAGCTCAATCTTAGAGGTTTTATATGGCCTAGACACGCAAATGCATACTTAAATGATGAAGTTTCAAGAAGATCGAACCTGAAAACAATAAACAAATTAGTTCGCCAAACGATTCCCTGAGGCCTGTACCACCCGGTACATCACATCAAAATCCAGAAGATCGTTGAGACATGTATCAGTATACGCATAGTATCATGTGACATTAGTACGTTTAGGTTAGAAGCAGAAGAGCCTCGTTAGTGGAAAAGAGTCTCGGAGAATTGGAGACTTTCCCCAAACAGCGTTTGGCTCTTGCAAAGCTCGAGGAGCAGTCCAAAGTGTTCAAGAACACTCGTGTTTTCAGTTTCGAGATACCAGGACATTCAGGTTCCTTTTGGTCACTTTGCAACAGACTCTTTTACCTAGACTTAGAGGCGATTCTACCATTTTACTGTCGCTTCCTTCAAAATATAGACATTGAATATGATAAGCTCTCTGAACGCCTGCGAGTGAGATCATGGCTTTAGAGGGCGAGCGACGTTATGTGGTCAGTACATTGGAGCGCTTCTGGTCGTGGTACAGTTCACTACACGAACGTCACCTATACGAACTCATTGCCGAGTCAACACCTTGTCGTCTTTACTTTGATCTCGAGTATTCCAAAGAAACTAATCGCGATATTGATCATGAGGTATGAGATTTTTGTATAACAGGTGTAGCTCTCCAGAGACAAAATGTTCACTCATCCCCGTGGATCTTATATCCTGCCATGTATGAGTTGAATGAGTCCGCAGTTGCAGTAAGGTGCCACGTCCTCGCGCAAAAATGCACGGAAACAGTGTTCAGGAGGTGATACCCGGGTGCAGTCACAAAACTGCCCACGCAATCCTCATTGCGCAGCACTTGCGTCAGAACCAAGATCCCGGAGCGAACACGCACTCAGTGGTAAAGAACAATTAGAAGACAGGGGGCGCAGTCAGGTAGTGCGTTTGGCTAGGATTAAGCGTGTGGTTATCGTGCGACAGCGCGGAGAGAGTCGGCAGGCGGGTTTCGCGACCCTCTGCTCTCGTTTCCATAAAATCGTGAGCGGAGAAAGGCGTATGTTATTGCAGCTGCGGACCCATTGACTTCACACATGGGAAGGAGCAGGATTCACTGAGGTGAGTGACCAGGTTGTCTTCAGGCATTCATGCCTTTCCTGTTCCGAAAACCGTTCGTTGTCGACAAAGTGGTGACCGTTGTGGGCTTCAAGCACTTACGAGTCACAATATGAAGGCAGATTCCTCGATACTTTGCGCTCCAAATCCGGAGCTGGGGATGGTGTGGCTGCTTGCTTTGATTAAGCGTGGCGTAGGAAGCGTTTTTGTGGGTTGTTCCGGCTCGAGACACGTGCCGTTCTATCTTGTTTTGGAGAAGGCATGATTCTAGTTGTTATAAAACGGTACGAATCCGTTAGAAGCGTATCCTCCGCCTTGTTCAAGTGGAGCACGCAGGCACACCTACGTCGTCTCGAGGATAAAGGCTACATAGCTGTGGACAATCACGCTGAAAACGGGACGTTGAGGTGCAATTTGGCTAATTTTCAACGAAAAAAAACCAATGGAACCTCTGAAAACTTTTGAAACAGGACACTCATTTCCACATTGCTTGAATGAGTTCAATGAATCATGTCGGCAACATTTTTTTCTTTATCAGCTCACTCTTATCACGTGAAGGCTCCATCTTTCTTATTTTACTTACAACTTGTTCGCCGCGGAGGCTGGGGGTTTCAGGGGGCTCGGTTTAGTGTGGACCCAGCCCGTTCTCCATCAGTTGTTGACAGGGCACATCGTTATTGGGGAATCTCCAATAGGGGGGTCGTATTTGGCCGCCAGGAGAGGGGGGTCGTATTTGGGCTGGGAAAAATTTATTTTGATAGTTGTTTTTCTCGCTTCACGGACGTTGTAAAGGGGGGAGGTCGTACTTGGTCATTGTTGGGAGGGGGTGGGTCGTATTTACGTTTTGGCGTTGTAGAAATGGTGGTTGACTTTTGGTGCTTTTCCTGTTTCTTGCGTACTAAATCTATGCCCCCCTCTAGCCTCTCCCCCCGCTCAATTTGATGAGGAGGAGCAGAGGACCAAACCCAGTCCCTTTGGCGCGTCTCAGCATCCGCAGCGAGCAAGACTGTGTGTCAAAACCGCTTTCGCTGCTCACCTTGAATTCTTGTGGAAACTGGTCTCTCTGCGGCCAGCCTCTGCTGAAGTCGTGTGCTCCCCATGGTCGAGGCGCCACTGGTTATGTTATGCTATTTTAGGATTTACGAACGGAAGTTATTTTCTTCTTTAACTAGTACCTTGGGAGACACATTCGATTATAGTTAGTAGACTTTGGGGCTAAAGCAGGAATCCTCAGGAGCCAGGTATTACTACTTGTGATGAACAAACGAACCAAAAGCCGTCAAAATAAACTCTGAATAAGACCTCTAGATTGGATGCAGAATCCAAGAAATTGACACCACTGTTTATTGTGGGCGCAATACCAGAGATACAAAGGATGAGACTAACAGGAGGACAGGAAGAGCAGCATGGTGCTCGGAAATGAGCGCAGTGCGATAGATGGTTTAGATAAATAGATAAGCAACGCGAGATGATTGATCGCCGGTGGTGAATCCTGTCGTAGTGAAGTGGGGGCCACTTTCTTCAGGTGGCGTTTCTTCGGCTCATGGCGGTCACGGCGGCGTCGGCAGTCCCGTAAAGCGTGTAGCCGAAACCATCAGGAGTTCGGGGCGGACCATTGTATATAGGAAGAGATTCTACCGATCAAGATAGGCGATTAAGATGCCTCTTCAAAGCTAACAATTAACACCGATGTATAGGCTTGGAAGGAAAGTCCTGTCAGTGTTTTTTGAAAACTTACAGTTTTTGATTCTCGATGCCCGTACATGACGTAACATGCTATGCTTGTAGGACACTCTAGAGCTTCCCGCAAGGAGCGTATGAGGGCGCCTGCTCTTCCCTGGGTTTAATTGCCGATGTCAGTTTCACAGGAGTATCTTCGGGGTGTTCATCTTCTTTCAGCGGCACTGGGGCACGGCAGCTGTCTTAAAATCAGCAGTGCATTGAGGTAAGGACACCACTACCATCAAGATCGTTTACTTTGAGTTCGCTTGGCTTCGCCGAAAAGAGACTTGATCAAAGGACAACCCTCGGTTGGGATTGGCTCCAAAAAGTATAAGACTCCACCATTCTCGAGGCAGACAAGGAGGATCCAGAGCTCACCCGCAGGTCTTGCGACTCGGAGTAACCTAACTGGCAGTCGTCCACCATAAGCCCTTGACCACCAAAAAGTACTGGCTCGATGGATTACTCATTACCGTGGCTGGCACGCTGCGCACCCGGCTACCCTTGGTCAGTCTTCCCCTTCTCTGCCTTCGTCAGAAGGAGTTCTCCGGAGACTGCTTGGTGGGAATGAGGATAGGTACTCTATGATTTCAATCAACACAGCACCCGTTTGTCTCTCTCAAGGAGAAGATTTTATTCTTAGCAGTGAATGTATCCGAAAAAGTTCTTCTGTGCTGATCCTAGGACGCGAGGAGGTACTGCCTGAACGAGCTGCCCCCATAAGTAACAGACGGTCATCGCCACCATTTGTGTCAGCTCAGCCTCCGAAACGAGTTGAAATTGTGTTAAGTTTTTGGTTTGGTGGAGTTTAAGAATGAAAAGTTTACGCCTGCCACCTGCTTGGCCTCTTTAAGGCTTTCTCAGCTAAGAAAACTTTCAAGCAATTCTATGACATCAGTCGAGAGGGCGCCTTACTTACTCTATGCAGCATTCTCAGTTCTGGGAGGATGGGGATGCTTACCTGTCCATTGGGTGGAGCGTTGATAGTGGCTACTATGACGAGTATAATTGGTTGGCTAATCCCACTGTATATTGAGTTAAGAAAATAAAAAGAGAAAAAAAGTCACAGCAGTGCACAAGACTTTCCCTTCCAACCTATATTCAGAGATGGACTAGTGATGAGCGGAGAGAAGACCTTGAATAGAAGTGCGTTCATGTGAAGAATTTCACTCTGCAGGCCAAATTAGCCCGAATGGTCACAAACTTTTGCGACAAGCTTTGCTGTGGCGACAGCTTTACTGCTTCAAACCAAAACCTTGTAGACTACTGAAAACTTTCGAGGTGTATTTAGGGCTGTTTATCGACACTTCATGGAACTGTTCAACGTATGCTAAAGGAGTGAATTTGATTTCGATACTAACCTTTCAAGGTTTATTTCCTTTTTGATGCACGTTTTTGCTCAACTTCCTGTCTATTAAACAAAGGTCTGCCAGTTACATGTGTTAGGCGGCGTTCATATTCTCGACAGCATCGGCGCGATCATACGTGCAAGCCTATCTACCGTAGCGGTGATTGACAAAATGTCTATGGAGACTCTTCCGAAATTGCTTTTTGAGTCTGTCAACGAAGTCTCTTCTTCGCAGCTTTTTTACCGGTGCCACTTGGTTTTTTCGCCACTTTTCCCCCAACATTATAGCACTTTGGCTAGCATTTCGGACGGATACCACAATTTATCCTGCCATGAGACTTTAATTTAGTTTGTAGTCGTGAGTCTGAAATGAAAATGGTATATAAGATTGGGACCTGTTCTGGAGGGCGAATGTGGGCTATGTCACTTTGGCAAGCTGGCACTATCTTATGATCCGTGGTTCAAATCCTATCTAGTCTTATCCAGGCCGACCATACTTGTATTGTGTTTTACCGGGTTCCATTTGGGAGGGGGTGACGGATGGCGGAGGGGACTGAGGTAGTGGACTCTAAGCAGGAGAGAATACTACGGTTCACTTCAGCAAGTCATTGTGAAGGCCGAATACGTACCACGAGTTGCAGTGGGAGTCGAAAGAGGGACATATTGAAAGAGATGAAATCGGGAAAAGAAAATTTTTTTGTCTCTCTTGTCGAATGGCGAGTTTTAATGGTGCTCAGTGGCGCAGATAAAGTAGCTAGTGACAATTAGTAGTGCAGATAGACAAGACAATGAAAGATTTATTGCAAGGATTTGTAATCAAGCAGTTGTAGGATTTTCTCGTGCTCGATAGCTCTACAGACAGCAAATTCTCCGCCCACGTCATCTGCCATTTCCCTAAAGGCATTATTTTCCCATCGAACGTATGTCAGTACTTCCGCTTTTCTATTAGGTTGGAAAGAAAGTTCGACAGTGACCATAATTTTTGACCAAAAATTCCTTCAAGCAACACCCCAAATCTACAAGGTAATCACCATTAGCAAACAGGGCAAGTGTCCACCTTTCTCACAGCTTCTCTATTCCACCCTTTAGAACTACGGCAACTACAAGGAAAAGAAGAGGCAGAACTCATTTCCAGGTTGACCTTGGTTTCCGAAATTTCTGCTTTCTAAAGGATGCTGTAGGGATCAAAGCAGGTGGTAGTTAGAAGCTGCTAGGCTCGAGCAAGCTAGGCACGGTCGCATTCTCTGATCGAGACCCATAATCTTTTGGCGTAACCTCATCGCCCCACATAGTCTTCGCTTGTACAAGAGTGAAGAGATATTGAGTGTTTCTCAGTGAAATCAGCCTTGACGTCACTCATATTTTGAAACTGATTAGAGTAGACTGTGTCCGTCATAGCTGGTCCACAATCCAGCGACATCGCTTCGAAGTCGCACCAACAACTCAGTGAAATCTTTTTCCATGCACTTCTGCTTTTGGGTATGTTGTAGGATTGCGTAATGTAGGATTTGAATGTATGTTAGAGATTGTCCCATGTAATATCCCGCGCAATGTACGGAGCATTGTATTATGACTATGTTTTTATGTGGTCAGGTTCTCTCCGGTTCAGTTACTCAATAAAGCTGCTTGTCTACTGGTGTCTTCGACAACAACAACATCTACAACAACTGGGCGATCAGCGCGAGCAGCGGATCTCTCGACGCGAGAAGAACGACTCCAGCCCTGGCTCCAAGCCTGGTCGAACTGCTGGTCGAGTCCACCGAGTAAGAGGACTCCAGCCCCGGCTCTGAGCCTGGTCGATACTGGCTGGTCGAGTCAAGAAGAAGGACATCAGCCACGGCTTCACGCCTGGTCGAACTGCTGATCAATTACTGGATGACGGCGCTCACTTCCTGCCCGGTCGAGCTGCTGAGTCGACAAGTTCCAGGGGCCCCGCAGTAAGCCTCATTGGGCTGTGCACGAGTTGCTGCATATCGATCAGTCTTTAGGCTACTGATCAATACGCACGATAATCGGTATCAAACGGTTATTGTGGTGCGGGAAGTTCTGTGTTAACACATGCGTTTAGGATCGTACGACACAGAAGAATGGACGCAGACGCGTTACGTACCGATCTCTGCGAGGCATAAGCAAGGATGCAGGCAGCAGATGTTCAAGCGAGCTGGTCAGCCGCAATGGAAGCAATGGTCACTGCTTCGGAGCCCGTTAACAGTCTCGACAACTCCCGTCTCAAACGCCGAGTTCGTCACGAACTCGCCTCTCTCATCCGTCTCCCCGAATTCGTGCTACGATCCTGACATGGCTGCACATTCACAAGTCTGGTTCAAAGCTGCGATCGAGGATGTCAATCGACAAAGGAAGTGGCGCCATGCGCTGAACGACGCAGCGAAACCGGCTCGGGTTATCGTCTCTAATCCCCGCAGCGCGTCACTTACGCACGGTTGACGTCTAAACCACTGCTCGCCGAAAAGGCGCATGCGACGCTTTGCCCTGCGAGACACTGTGGCAATCCTGAAAGGAACTCTTCGCGGCCAACAACACACTCGTCTTTTGGCGAAAACGGTACGTAACATACCTCGAAACGACTGACAACGCAACTGGAGAGAACCTCGGCGCCGAGAAAAAAACTACACCGCCACTTCGTCATTCAACGGCAGGCACGACTCGGCCGAATTCAACGACGTCACGCCCCGAGCAGATGAAGGTGCTTGTATGGATAAGCCGGATCTCCGTCGCTCGACAGCACATCCGCCCGACATAACGAGCCTCCCGCTCGCTCTCCGCCTCCGCCACCACGATCGCACGCGCACACCTCCACGCCACACACACCGCTCCGACCACCCGCACGCTCCGCGCTCCCCGAACATCCCCCGGCAAATTCTCGAACCATCTCGCCCCGCAAGGATGCGCCGCACTACCCTCCGAAACGACCGCCGCCTCCCACCCGCAACCCGTCACACGTCGTCCGCACTCACCACACCACGCACACAGCACAACGCGCGCCTCCCGGCCGAGCCGCTTCAACCCCCCTCGCTCCTCTCTCTCGCCCATCGCCTCGGCACCACACATCACTCGGCTTCCACCGGAATGTCCTTTCCTGAAAGAGACCGTGCTCACCCGCCCAACTGCACAGACGACCGGCCATCCAAGCCAGAGGATTCCCTGCAAGCAACTTTAAAAAGAGGACAGAGGAACGCAGAAACCGCAACGGAACGCAAGATCTGTCAGAAACACCGCCTCGCTCATCCCTTATCACACGCTGATGCCCCCTCCTGCTCACAGCATCCTATCGCTCAGTGGAAATAAATGGAAAGACGATACCATGCGCCTCGACACTGGAGGCAGACGTGACTTTACTGAGCGAAGCAGACTGGATTGCTCTTGGTCGTTTCCGAAGCTACACGCTCCTCGACTGACACTGAAGTCTGCCCAACGACAAGCCGATCAAAGTTCGAGGACGCTACGACTGCAACTTCGTCATTGATGGTCAACGAGGACGATGGTACCTGCTATGTAGCCGACACGCCATCGCTGTTGGGCCTAGAGGTGGATTGCCAACAAGCAACTGTTTCGCGTCACCTAACGGAAGGATCGATTACAGGCGTATCGTCGAAGACGCTCAACACACACATTCGCACGCCGCGAGCAACGGACAAGCAGAACGCTCTATGGATACCTGCAAGCGAGGACTCGCCAAGTTGAAGGGGGAGAAACCGACAGACGACGCTCTGCAGACTTTTCTGATGGCTCACCTCTCTACGCCGTGCCCTTCTACAGCAGATCAACGATCACCTGCGGAAGCCTTCTTGGACGCCCGACTGCGGGCCGAACTTGACTTGATGCTGCCCCAGAGGACGTCACTATGGGAGCACGAGACGTCAAGATGGAAACTCAGTTCAATCGTCGAAATGGAGCACGACGCCGCAGTTTCAAGGTCAACGACGCTGTTCATGTCAAGGATTATCGAGGACCAAAGCCTTCATGGATACCTGGAAGCCATCGTTCGTCGCGTTGGAAAACACCACCTACATCGTACGCTGTGGAAAGCAACTTATGGCATCGACATGCAAACACAGCTGCGACCGAGGATCAACACAACAACGAGAAACGCTTTCATGGAAGTGTTCGATCTACCGCTGTTCAACTTCGCGAGCAGAGGCAATGTGGCGCCACCGACGACGACAACGCCGCCTCGACGATCGCAACGTGTCGCGACAACCACAACGCGACTCCAGCTGGACCCTCAGAGGTCCCGATACGTGTTAACTTAAAGGGGGAGTGTGTTGTAGGATTGCGTAATGTAGGATTTGAATGTATGTTAGAGATGTCCCATGTAATATCCCGCGCAATGTAGGGAGCATTGTATTATGACTATCCTTGTGTTTTTATGTTGTCAGGTTCTCTCCGGCTTCAGTTACTCAATAAAGCTCCTTGTCTACTGGTGTCTTCGACAAACAACAACAACTACAACAGGGTAAGCCGACGATTTTTCTCCTTGAGAAATCCTGGGACGGATATGAGCATGCCTTGAACAGAGGACCCAGCTCTCATTGCCAACCACAATACATATTTCGCAAAGGCTCTTTCAGTGTGTACATGAAGAGAAACCTCGGTGAAGACTACTAGGCGCACTTGTCAGGCACGTGCAACTCATGTAGCATCCTTCACAGAGAATTTTCCGTATAAGTGTGGGATGTGAAGGGATTGCGGAATGGTAGTTGTCACATAGGTGCAGCTTAGAGATGTTGCCAAAATACTGGTGGTCACGTTCGGCTGCACCTCCAGGAGGGTGAGTAAGCAGTCGTTATTCAGTGCTGGTGGCCGACCTCAACGTAGCCTACCTTTGAATGAATAAAATAACTCGCGCTCGCAAGCGCTGATACAAAGGGGACACTGTGACATGGCGAGCGACATCCTTCCTGAAGACAGCGAAGGTGTTAGCTCCCTCGATTACGACAGTGTGGCCCTACAGTAACTCACAATATGGGATAGGTCGAAAAGTACATTGCCTTTGGGTTTTTAGGCTTTGAAAGCATCCACAAAGTCATAATATAGGCGTCCGCAAAAACCAGAGAGGACACTCTCCATTAATCAGGGGCGAAAACATTCAAATATTCTTTGATTGTTTTTCTAGAGCACTTTGTTCGATGTGTTGCGAGACTTGCTTTCAACTATTAATTAGAATATGACAGACTTCATTCTTCCTCCTATCACATTGCTCAGATGTGTATACTTCCAGACATCTATGCGTCCATTTTGTGCTCGCCTTTCCGAAAATCTGTTGCAGAATCCACCAGCAAAAATTATGAATGCCGATGGAACGAAGGTTCACTCTCTATTTTTTTCTGAATTTTGTCATTTCCTTCAGAAGCAATATTCCAGGAAACGGTCCTATTTGACAGCGCTGTGTATAGCAAAAATAGGAACTTCCGGTTATTTTTGTCTTCGAAACTTGGGAAAACTACAGTATTGAAGCTGGCGCCGTACTGCGATTTCTACGGTATGCGCAGAGTAAAATAGGATGACCACAGCTTAAATGCATATTGAAAAGTTTCAACCACGCCATATATTGAAAACGGTGGTAAAGTTGACTTCTCAAGAGAAGTAGTCCCGAGCGGACGCGGAGATAATCAGGCTGGGCGGTGTTGCATCCCCACTACTTCTCAATTTTCTAACTTTCTATTTCTATGGCAATTTCACTTCCGTATCAATCATCCTTTCGTGAGGTTTTTTATCTTTCAGGTTCTTCAAAACCGTCAGATCAGCAGATTTTCTATGACTCTCTGTGTGTTCCTGCAAACGCTCACAAATTTCCATTACTCGAGATTTCGGAAGGCGATCAGTGCGAAGTAGCTAAATCCAGGACACTTGGTAAGATTTCACGCAGTCTCCCTGTGGAAGATAACACTGAGGAATATGGTTGTTGTGGCGTCTTTCAGCAACTTCCACGTTGCGGCTGCAAGAAGGCTCAGGACGATCTCCTTATCCTCAGCTGGACGAGTTTATACTGATGGTACTGCGAAAATGGAGTCAATCTGTCTACATTCGGCAGTGGAAATTGATGATTAACAATGATGACGGACGAGTCACAGGCATCACCTATTATGTAGGTCTTCCCAGACGTTGAGCCGATCCCTCTTCATTCTGGAGTATAGGTTGTGCACTCTGATTGTCAGCATTTAAGTGCGACAGTGCATGAATACACATTTATTGCATGAGGTATTACCCATATGAGGTGGGACAGTCCGGCGACAGGGAGAAACTCAGTGAAGGAAGCAGCTGCTTGCTGGATGAAATGAGCAAGATGCACCCGTGGTGGGCGAGGAGTACAATGAATGGGTGCTGCTTGTTGCTTAAAGGCAGTTGGCACGATGGTTTCCTACTTAGCCCAAAATGCTAGGGCCCTGTATAGTGGGGAAATGGCGAAGGAAATGAGAGAAACCGTCAAAATCCTGCAAAGAAAAAGCCTCCGTTCTCAGTGACTTCTAAATCGATTTCGGACGAGTTTCCCGTAGGCATCTTACCAATCACCGCTACTGAACGATACGGCGGCATGAGCAATGGCGCTAACCCATGTTTGCAAGCAGCATCACGGCTGCTTCTACCAATTCCTTCGGCTTCATAATTTGCTTAGCAAGCAAGTGAATGAATATGAGCGTTAGAACGCGTCGTTCATTCTAGGCAGGCGGGCGGGCGTAGGCGGGCGTCTGGGACTTGAAGTTGTGGCTTGATAGAGCTCTTATGAGGCATCTTCTCGGGGAAACGCCAATACAGCGCCTGCCTCAGGGTCGCGGAATTCTATCCGTCGCAGAATTCTATCCCGCCAGGAGTATTGATTAGTCGTCTTGGGGATTTATCGTGCCAACTGCCTTTAATAAACAAAACCAAAACACAGCTGTTAAGATCTACACCCGTCCCTTCCGTGAATCTGTAACCACGGCATAGAAAGAATACATGCATCCCCACCTTTCTCCGCTCAAGACTAGCCATGCCTTCTACCCTCCGGACCGGTGTTTGTTGCGATACCTGTCTGGGATGATGAATTTCCATCGCAAGTTCGTTTCTAGGTCTTGTCGCATTCGAGAGCCACTGTGATCCTGAATAGAATTAGAATGCGGTCCCGCATCACAAAAAGGGGAAATTCGACAGACATACTCTTTATGATTTAGCACGAGAGTCAGAGCACTGGTTGTAGACATCCCAGAAGTCAAATGAAAAGCTTCGTTAAGGGTTCTTCTTCAATAAAAAAAACAAAAACGCTGGATAAAACTTCTAAAGGTTTTCCGAGCACAGTAGTAGCATTTGTGTTGCTGTCTATTGAAGCCCAATGACACCGTGCCCCCTCAGGTACTGTGCACATCGACCCCGTATGCACGCCAATAAATGCCACCTGACAAATGGCACAATTGTAAGCTACTTCCTATCGATATTTTCAGCCTGCGAATTGTCGGTATTGTTTCAACATACGGTCGAGAGCATAAAAGTAATGGTACCTTCTGGACAGTAAACTTTGAGAGGTGGGTTTTCGACAACTTCTTGGAGATTTTTCGGCTTTGACCATGGAGCAAGAAATATTCACGCCCAGATCCATATCAAAAGGTCTAGATCAGTCTGTTGCCCTCATCTCTCATCTGTTGCCGTTAGAGCCATCAGGAATCCTTCGAAGTGAATGTTAGGATTTGCTCGTGCAGTGACCAGTGGGAGAGGGTCGAGGTCGCACTTTCCCCCAGTACTTTAAGGCGAAAAGTAGTATATTGCTGTCTGCTGCGAAACAAGACTACCTTGTCCTAGAAGACGTGATGATCATCGAATAAAATTGAGTAGCCTTGCCGAACTTAGAAACACATAAAACTGCCAGTGGAAGAGAGAAGGCAAATTGGATCTCAAAGCTCACGAGGACCTGTCAATTTACGGAAATTTCGCTCACTTGGCGATAAGAGAAATGCCAAGCGATGACCACTTCGCTTGTTAGAAGAAAGAGGTCAGAAGAAAATCGGGATTCGTCCCCGATTTCTTCAACAAAGTTTTTCCAAGAGGCCGAGCTTGTACCCATGTTATTTCTGTGGTAAGAGATTTATAGAGGAGGGACGTAAATGTAAAAAAATCACTTTTGGCACTCTCTGTCTTGAAATTTACCAATGCTTCGCGCTCATTTTGACTCTTGCGCGCGCCACGTTTTATCATCTTGCGTTTGAGATCATGTGTCGTAGCTAAGGCGCGATACCACAAACCACGTCAGGCATCACGTCTCGGGAAATCGCCGCTGTTGCGTACGACCTCCCCCCCTCCCCGTTGCGTGCTCAGAATTGCATCATTGGGGTGACGAAGGCGGTCCTGCGGCGCTCAAATCCATGCCTCCTAATGCTCTGCAGCGATAATGACTGTAGCTTCCAGATCTGCGAATTTGAACGGTTTTGCCAGAAAATGTTGTTGAATTTCGATTTTTTTTTTATGTAGGAAACGTTTGCATAGCGCAACGCATTTTCGGCCTCCTCTTACTGCATCCCTTTATTCAGGAACGATTTCTGCCAGAAATGTTTTGATCCGGAAGTGTCGCGAGCTGTCATCAAACTTGTTCCTTTCCATCATTCATCACTAAACTCTTTGCATAAAAGGATTGCGAAGGTGAGAGCTTTTTTGTGCTCAAATATGGTCTATTTCTCCTGCTTCTAATTCCAGAATAATTCTTGACGGAAAGTCCCTCGTGCCTAGAATTATGAAAATTCTATTAGGTGCGCAGAAAAAAACTGTTCGTCAGTCCCCCCCCCCCCCCCCCCCCCCCCCCCCCCTCCCCCCTCCCCCCCCCTCCCCCCCCATTTTTCAATGTAGACTTCTTTTTTAGAGAGAGTTGTGCAACTATAGCAGAAATTAGCAACAATGTTTGTAGAAAATCCTTGCAGTTTTTGGACGGCTTCGTGCGATGCCATCAGCTCTACAATGCACGCCGGCGCGACGCAAAGTTGCGACATCAGTCTCAACTTTGACTTGGGCCTCAAGTCGTGGAGGTTTTACGACTGTTAAACGCGGTGAATAACGGTTGATACGACTGTATAAACGCGTCGCGAGGCCGACTAGACCAGTCAGAAGAACCAATGTCTGCGACCAACCTGGCAAGGGAGCAGCCAACCAGCGTATTGATGAAGTACGCTCGAATTTTTTTGACGGCGACGGTGCTGTTAACCATCACGTTGAAAGACGGACTGTGCCGATGGATTTTGCCCTCTGCTTGACGATTGCTTACAGATTCTCGTAGCATGCTTTGCGTACGGACTGACCGAGGAGCAGGCTTCTTCATCCAGTTAGTGTTCCCGACCCACGCTATTCTAGAGCTGAGTTTACAGCTACTCCGAACTCACTTCGAACCGTAGCGCTTCCCGCTCTGAACAATTAGCGTCAGTGGAAGAATTGCTGATGGCTGTAGACATGTCCTTTGGGCAGCCCTCCAGTATTCGGCGCAACAGCTGGTGGTAAAAAGAAACATGTAGCGTGGTCCGGAAAGTTGCTCAGCGTTTTGTGCACCTATTTTTTGTACATCACTGCTGCATGATTAAAAACCCATATCGCCTTGCTTTTCAGCTTAGCATATCCTGCTTTAGAGAATTTCCTGCGCTATCTGTGGTTATAATTGCCGCTTTCACCATTGCTGATAAACCCCATTTTTTCAAGACTTTTTCAAGCATTCTAAAAGAGCACTTCGGACGATTTTTTCTTCGACTATAAATTGGGCCAATCCGCAATCAAACAGCCTTCAACAAATGTAACCAGGTCTGGGAGTCTCAAAGAGTGCCTAGAGAATAGCACCTGCGGTCAACTCAACAAATTTCGTTCTGGAGATTTCGCCTTAAAATGAACCTCATAGCCGGTCACCGAAAAGCAATATCTTGATGAGGATTTAGGGGGATTTCGAAGGCTAGACCCATCCCAGCAGTTCGAGAGATAGCAGAAAGAGCTAGGAGTCTTGGTCAATCCACTGTTGCAGATGGTGTGGCGAAACGCAGTTGGGAAGGTGAAAAAACTCGACAAATTGCGGTGCCCCACAATCGGAGTGACCGGCAGGAATCGCGCACGATCTTCGACGTTCCTTCTCTTTGCTTTTGCCGCAGCCAGAAACTCGTCTTTTTGGACCGAATTGTCACCTGTGCATGAAAATAATGGGTCATGTTATGATTAATACAGGAGACGCTTCTGACAGTGGTGGATTTCGACGAACCACGAGGAATTTTCAAAGCCGAACCCTCACGAAAAAAAAGATTGTCACGCTTGGTGGTCATCGGCTGGTCGGCAACTATACTTTTTACACCACAACGACAAACCATCACAGCAGAAACCCTACTATGAAGAAACGATCGAATTTAGGCAAAATTTGTCAGATCAAGCCAACACTTATCAAAAGAAAAGTTCCGATTCAGTTGCATGACAGACGCCCGCCCACACATCACAAATCACTATCCTATGGAATTGAACGAATTGGGTGGTTAAAGTTCTACCTCAACCGCCATATTCTTCAGACCTTGCGCCAACCGAACCACACCTTTTCCACCATTTTCAGAACTCCCTTGCCTTGCGACAAATACTTCATCAAATCAAGGACCAGGCAAAAAAGCCGTAGTGGATTTCGTCAATTTTCGACACCCGATTTTTTATTTTGATGATGTCTCGACTCCTGTCACATTGACAAAGTGTGCTGCATTCGAATGGTGCCATTTCGATTAAAATCCCGACTGACGTATATTAAAAAGTTACGATCGTTTAATTGTGAAACACCCAAACCTGAGAACTTTCGGACAAACCTAGACAGTTTAGGAACGCCTTGAAGGGCGGTGCTGAAGGTAGCGGGTAACATTTATTGTCCATAATGGGCAGAATAAGTATGGCAGAGCGCAGCCAGTGACAATAGGAAAGATCAATCCTTTAATTATACATAGCTCAGATCACCGCTTAGCCCCTCTTCGAGTAGCAGGGCGATATGCTTGGGTTCAACAAAGTATATGGACAAACTTTCCCGCCAGCCTAATAATTCTAACACAATAAGCAAAAAGAACCTGAGGCCTAACTTGCCTAATCTTCCATTGCCCCATGATATGCTTTACCATTCTTTCACTTCGCGAACTGTCAACTAGTGCCTCAATGTATGTTAAGATGAGACAATCGCTGCGAGTGTCCGACTCCATGGTTCCCGCGCGCCTCCCTACTTCTTGCGCTTTCTTCATCTTCTGACTCTCAACCGGAAACGCTTGTGTGTTTCCATATCTTGAAAGCTACTTGCAAAGATGGAAAACTTCGAGATTTACTTTCCATTTTCTGAATCAGGCCAGACAGCACTCACAGTTTTATATTGGAATCTGAATGGACGTTCAAAGTTTCCTTTCTCATGAATTGCTCGCAGGATCGGAAGGTGGTGTTAGGGCAAGTGATGCCGCTTACCCCGGGTGTAGTCCAATGGCCAGATATCGCATCATGTCGCGCATGGCACGTCAGAGTGTTCTAGCATTCATCTGTCGATTCATTGGATATACTGACATGTCTAGGAGGAAAGTATTCTGCTTTTACATCGGCTAGGCGCACGTCAGCTGTGCATCCAATCCGCTAAAAAACCCACAAGTGTCCAGCAGCGAAGTAGACTAAATGTTACCCAAAAAAGGGAATAATCAATGCCAAAGCATTGCCGAGCAAGAAGCTGATTCGATGAGTGGATTAATTTAGGCATGAAGTCGCGTATTTGGAGTGACCTGCACTAGGCTCGACCAATTCGCCGACGATCTTACCAGCTTTCGATAATTTCTTTTATCATCAAGACAGCCTTGTTCCAAGAGTCAGCAAAAACGTCCCCTAGGGCTACGGTTTTGTTCGCTGCGGAGGAAGGGGCATGTCGAGAATGAATTTGGTGACGCCTACCTGCTATTTTACGTTTTTTTTCGGCAAGCAAAAAACTGTATTATATCGTTCGCATCAGTCGTTTTCCTGGTTTTCCAGCACCTGTTGTCGCTTACCCTCCTGAATAAGTCGTGGAGAATGAGCTGGCGGCGCACCGAGCCCCGCCTCACCGGCACGCCCCCATCCGCAGCGAACAGGACTGCAAATTGTTCTGGGTCTCCATGCGGACAGACACCTGAGACTGATTATGCATCAAGGCTTCTTTGTTCCGCTCAGACTCCACTTTCGGCTTTTTGATGACATAAACATATACTAAGAGTAACTTGCAGAAAAGGCAATGGCGCAGAATTCAGTTCTCTGGGTCACGTGGTCATCTATTTTCCAATCATATTTTCTTCTGCTTTTTATCCATTTTTTCTCGTGGCAAACTTGCTTTCGTCAGCCAAGTATTCTCATAGGACTTCCACAACTGAAGGCCCTAAAAAAACTGGAATGGAATTTTCACTCGTTATTCTAGACAAGTGCCTCTAACGAGTCTTTCTGCAGCGCTTTTTCTGCGAATTTATGAACTTCCATTTGATTCGTTCGCAATCGTTCCATTGACGTC